TCGTTTACCCTAAAGTGTGTTCACCCCTTTTAAGTAGAGACCATTCAAAAGTTAAGTTGTGACGGTATTATCTAAGTACTTGTTTACTTAAAAACGTAGACATGGAGGCACTAGATGTTCATTCCGAGCGTAGTTCGATTCGAACAGTGAGCGTGGTACAAATATAAACGAATAATTAAAGAAAATCTGTTAAGTTTTAATAAAAAAATAGCTTCAACTAATTTGTATCGTCACATTCTACAACTTTTATATTTATTTTTAAAGGATTTGTTAGAAATTATTGAACTACTGATAGTAGGCTAAAACCTCCTTTCTAAGGAGAGGCTTATGTCCAGCAGTGGACTATTAAAGGCTGTTGATGATGGTGATGATGATTGAACTACTATTTTTTTACATCAAATTTATTGCACTACTATTATTTTTTCTATTGGTGACATATTGTTGATTGCATTGACTTTATGTATTTAATTTTCAAAATTCTTTTTTAGGGGCTAATTTCATTTTGATTTGCTAATAAATTTATAAAGTAAAATGTCATTAATATTCCAAAGAGCCTTTAATTTAGCTAAAACTTTTCACATTTTCAGACACTGTCGTAGCATGGATCTAAACTTAGACTTCATTACACAAATTAACTAAATTTAATTATGTTATAATTAAGGTTAATTAAGAAGCAGAGACTCTGTCGTTGTTGAGATGACGTTTATCTTCACTTTGACGTTTCCTATTTTAGATGTTCAAGATATCATAAACAATACTAATGAAACATATTTTGCCTAGCTTGAGGAAGTTTAACTAAAATTATTTCTACGCGTTCCGAAATATAAACTCATCTTTTGTCCTTGGGGTATTTAACTAACTTTAAAAAAAACTGTATCGTTGAAAGTACCTTTAAAACTTTATATTTTTAGAACAGCCTCCGAAGAAAAACATTTGTCTATTTCTGTGACTTGTTGCTAATATAGATTTAGAATAAGTTTTTATCGATTTAATCCGTGTGTTAGACTAATTTCACTCACTTTATTTATTTTCCTACTTATCTCTGTCATTGAGATCTGTGTGTCTTATATTGTGAACATATTTTATAAATATTATTTTTTAAATTATTGGCGGGAAAAAAGTTACTCATAAATCAGTCATCATTTTTCTTAAACGAACAGATACATGGCTACTGCTGCCCATGGACATTTTCAACTCAAGGGTCACAAGCGGTTTAGGAAATCCCCCCACCCTTCCTCATGAATCAGGGGGATGGGAGGGCAGGCCTATTTATATATAAGCCACGACACAAATATCAAAATTCCAAACATTATCATTCAATTGATAACAAAGATGTGCAGTACTGAAAAATTACCCCAGATCTATGTATAAAAATAAAAATCAACTGCCAGATCTAGATGTTCTAATTCAACGTTTAGATGATCTACAATTACCATCACCCGATCTGTTGCAAAACTAGTTGGGTCAAGTCGTGGTTGCGCCTCTGCGGTAATATTCGCTATTACGAGATTTTTAAGGTGAGAGATAAATGCGCACGGTATTTTTAAAAAAAAGGTTAAATATAATATTACCTATTCGATAACTTTGCACAGTAAACACGGGAGGTTAACACTTCGACAACCCTTTAATGAATTTTGATAATAGTTATATTTTCTATAAATCTCCCAACAGCTGGAATTCCACCAAAAAAGTTACATTTAAAATTACACAGTTAACAGGTTCAAACTCAATCAAAGGCAATCTGTCCGAATTAAGTGTTTAACATTTGCCAATGTTGTATGTATGCATGTGAAAATAAATCACAACTTCAAAAAGGAGGAGGTTATCGATTCGGATGTTTATATTTTTTTTATTAAATATCATATACATAGATCTGACGATGAGTTTCGGAGACAGACAACGGAACTCTTCAAAAAATGAAAGCAAATCAACCGCCATTGCTGCTTGGTTTTTAGTGCTCTTTGTTAGTATTATTTGAAGTCGATTCAACTTTTTTTTAGAAAGGATTTATGTGTATTCAATATATAAAAAGCTAACACTTATTGAATACACAAGATGACGTAGCACTTATACAGACATGTACCTATGTATGTGGAATAATAGGCAGGTACTACGTCGTAGACACTTTAAAAATCAAAACATGGTGTCTTTTGTAACATTACGCGTGTTCGGGTCCAACCTGATATTGTTATGCCATATGCACATACAAGACAATAGATCTAAGGACTGATAGCCTTATATTGGAATACGTAGTACAAGCTTTACTAATTCTAGAAAACATTTATTATTTCTGTAATAACTTTAGCCTGCTGCTACGGTATTTCAATTGTGGGACTAATAACATCTTAAGTAATACACTACTTAAGCTTTCAATGCCACAGCAAAAGATATTTAGTAAAACTTTTTTTTTCTTAAAACAATTAACTCGTAATATTAAACTGAAAACCATTGAAGCCATTTAGACTTAGTTTCAATCTTTCATAATAAGGCCGTCATTTGAGTCTGTGGGCCGACTTCAAGACTGACTGGTCTGCCGATGAGTTGAGCTATAAATTATGCAAACACTGCTCGTCGTGTTAAGAGGGTTGCTCCAAGTTACATCTCTACTTGACTTCGAAGTCAACTCACTCGTAGTCTGGGGAACATGTAATGAGATGCTGTTGAACTTTTAATAATGTGAAATGCATTAAGTATAAAGATAAACAAACAAAATACTCTTTAGCTTTAGTTTTATTTGAATGTAGTCGTAACACACAAAACACTTACTTCTTCTGTTTTTGTTCAACACTGAACATTCAGAATTTCGGTTTAATTCTCATTAATAAAATATATTTAAAAAAAATATGAAAATCTTATATATAAAATTCTCGTATCACAATGTTCGTTCCCGTACTCCTCCGAAACGGCTTGACCGATTCTCATGAAATTTTGTGTGCACATCGGGTAGGTTTGAGAATCGGCCAACACCTATTTTTTATACCCCTAAATGGTAAGGGTGACCCATCCCTAATTTTTTTTTGTTTTGCAATACTACGTTTGCCGGGTCAGCTAGTATATTTATAAAGAAATGTCTTTGTTTTTCAATATTTTTGTAGCAGTAATCCTAGATATGCCAACCTATGTTTTAACTAAAGCTCTATATTCTAATGAACTCTATGTACATCATCGTCGTTTACCTTATCGTCTAAACTAAAACCAACTTCAAATCAAATTGATAACTTGACAAATATAATGTGACAATAAATCCAACGGGCTCGTCACACCCGTCCGCAGCTTTCAGCGCCGATGTTAATATTACATGAGCGTTTGAGGAAGGTTTGGTGATCAGTGGCAATTAAATAGTCAGGTGTAACTGAGACGGGTAATTAGTTTACCCATAAGGGTTACCTTAAGCCGTTTTGTAGTTACCCAATAATATATTTACGTTGATGATGGTATTACCCATTTATTTAATATAGGTAGATTTGTTGCTTTATCGTTTTAGCCAGTTTCTTACTCTTTTCTATTCCTGAACTCGTTTAATGTAATGCCAGTTTTAGATAAGCAAGTGCTTAAGGTGAATTTATTGACCAACCTGGTACTAAAATATTTTAATAGTGTATTACTACTATAAAAGCTACATGGTATCCTAGCTGTATAGTTACACGTATTTATTACATCCTGTAGAAAACCGCAACTAAACTCAAAAAATAATTAGTGATTATCAAGAATCGTGGGTAGTTCGATGTAAAATGTTACAGATATAATAATAGTTCATTCATTCATTTCATTTGGAAGAATAAAACGATAATACCCTATTCTTTTTACAATTAAAAGGTAATATCCACTTTTTAGTTCGGTTTGCTTATTTATTTTTAACTATATTTTATTTTGTAAGATATGAAGTCTAGAGTCATTCGTAGGTAGTTTTTGAAAAACCTATCCAAGTATCCTAGTTTCTTAGAATTCCTACTTAATGCAAATGGCTGATTTTCTCAAAAAAAATTTTTAACAGTCAGAATCAGAAGCTCTTATCATTACTACCTCTTTTTTATTTCATCTGAGCCTGTTTTCCAAACTCGGCTGGGGCCGGCTTTAAGTCTGCTATTAAAAAACTATTACGTATAAAAATCATCGATGCGATTATTCACAACTATAAGAACGTCTAAGAAAATGTTGTTGTAAAAAAAAAATTTTACTCATTAGACAACTACTTAATGAGCAAGTCGCAGCTAAAAGCCGCTAAAGTACATAAAGATTTTCTCAAGTAATGAGGGAACGATGGTGTTAATAGAAAATACCTTAATTAGTTAAATCTATAAGCCGTGTAACATGTTTTGAAATAAAATTACAACTTTAAATTGCATCGTGCTGATCGCTAGTCTATAATAACACCGATCCCATACAGTTTATAGTTGTATATCAATATGTATCGCGGCCGAAGTAGCATTGAATAATTAGGTGAGGCCATTAGTGACCTGTCCGTTGGCTGGTCTGTTTACAACTGATACTATTTTAATTAAACAAATTATTGATGGTGTAGTAAATATACAAGATTTAAACACGTGATTTATTATTTTCACGTTTTAAGTGTGTTTCATAAATTCCTAAACACTTAGGTTAAATTGATTTATTTTATCAATTTTGACTTTTATTATTTTGCGTAGATAAATGTGCACTATAACCCAATGAAGAAACTATGTTTTAATTAATTGATATTTTAATGCATTGTATCTTATTTATGCAACTAAAATTGTAAATTAGATGTTTTGTGTATGTAGTCAATGCGAATTTATTAAGATGGAGTTCTAAAATTTTACATGTTTTTCATTGGTTGCATATAGATGAATTGGGTTTCCCTTTGCTTTTCTCCCAAGAAATATTCAGTTGCAGTTTGAAAATTAGGTACAATAATAGGCAAATAAATATCCGCCGCGATTGCATACCACGTAACATTAAACCTAAAATGTAAGTAGAAGAATTCGTATCTTGGTTTAAAACTCACCAAATATTTGTTACAGACGTCAAACGGCCGAAGAGAGGGAAGCAGAACGTCAAGCAGCAAACCGCCTCATGCTCTCCTTACAAGCTGAAGCGCTATCTAAAGGCTACATCCCTGAACCACCACCGGGCAGCGCACCTCTATCAGCGTTACATTACCAGAATCCACCAAACAACGCACAAGCACCACCTTCGAATACAGCGCTTAGTGCGCTGCAGAATCTTCAGCCGTGGGCTGGAAATCAAAATGGATTTATGAATCCAAATCCGGGTACTGCTCCTCCGCCACACCCCCCGCCTGTCGCGTCGCCTATATGTTGATCTGTAGACTGTTAGAATCTGATTAGTGATAAGAAATCTATATTAGGTATTTTCATTAAACTGAACCTTCATATCTGTAATTACATTCCAATATTGTGTGACTCAATGCATGGATTTTTAAATACGTCTAACATAGCACTTTCTCAATCACACTTTTAAAAATAGATGATCGGAACAAGAAAGGAAGAATTCGAAAATGTTGCTGTTAACTTGTTAATTTTTCATGTGATATCAACTGATATTAGTGACTTCACTAATGTTATTGTACATTCGTTCAATCAATTCAATAATATGGAGAACGGGAGAACAGTACATGTTGAAAGTCTGAGAATATAAGAGAATAAACATTTACTCCTTTTCTACACTTGATATCGTGTGTGTAACTGTAGCTGTAAACCAAATTCTGGTAAACCCACTTAAATAGCCAAAAAAAACCACTACTATTTTTCGTTGGAATTCATCCCGTGGGTGTCGTAAGAGCCTACTAAGGGAGCAAACTACGCAGGACATTAGCACTGCAAAGAGAAGAAACACTTGAAACAAACCCAATATCAACCCGTCTGGCCAGCGTGGTATAGTAGGATAAAACCTTCTTTCTAAGGAGAGGCCTATGTCCAGCAGTGGACTGTTATAGGCTGTTGATGATGTTTTTTTTCTGTGCGGGAATCCCTTCGGATATCACCCACCGGTAGGGTGAGTATATCGGACTAGAACCGACCAAAAACCGCACGCCGTCTAATCTAATATTATTTTTAAATCAGTTCAGAAGCAACATCAATATCTTGAAATGCAAATAGGTTGCATTAATACGGATTAAAATAATAGAAAGGCTAATTTATTTTTATTATTCTGTAATGTCAGCAGCATCCGCGAATACTCGTAGTACTGAAGTAAAACAAAAGTTTTACTTTTTTTTTAATCAATCATGATTAACAAATTCAACTATAATCACAGCATTCTCGAGACTTTGTCTAATTAAATAAGTGCAATTTTTGTGAATAAAACAGTAAAGAACATTTCATGTAACTTTTTCAGATAAACATTTAAAAATAAAAAAAATCTTCTATCTTCTAGTCCACATTACAACAACAGATTTATATAAAAATATTTCAATGTTATCCAACTCATTAGTACCAATAAAGGGAAGTCTTTGTAAATAAATATAATCAGTATTATAATATAGTTAATTAGTTTGATGGTAAATAATATAATAGCATATTTGTATTAGGTCTGCTTAATATTGTAAGTGTGAAGGTGACTGTAAAAATGAACGAAATGAAATTCAGCATTTGAAAATTACATTGTATTTCAAAAATTATAAAAACTGTAATGATATTTTAATTTAATATTTTTATGTATTCTGTTCAAATATCGAATATCAAGAATAAATTTTCATGCAATTAATATAATATGTATGTAAATAATTAATGTATTTCAATAAGTTTTTAACCCGTTTCTCCTTAGATCTCAATTTCTCACATTTGTATTAATAAAATATCAAGTTACTATTGCAATATATTTATTTTATTAAATTCTTCATATATTTCTGTGTTTCAAATAAAATAAAATAAATATAATATACATTTTAATAATAACATAACGCTTTCAAATGTAAGTTTAAAATTGTGAACTCCCAATAGACACTATGTAAATATATTTAATTTAATAAGAATTAGTATTATCTAAAGTAGCTCAATTTATTGTGAAATTTAAGTATCGTATATCGCGTTATTATATTAGTGATGTAAATTATTGTATAATTGTCGAACTTCCATTGCGTTGGCTACATCCAAGTGGACGTTTTAATAAAATATTGAAAGATCCAAATATGTGATGTTTATTTTTAAACCCTAATAACATAACTATAGCTATGCTATTGCTATCTAGCAGATGTTTTCTCTATCTCCCCCTCTCACACCTCCAACTTCATCAACTCCTCCTTCTAAGTCAAATCAGTTCTTCTCTGGAATGCCCTGCCTGCCGAAATCAGGATGTCCACAAACCGCCTTGCATTCAAGAGAAAAGTGCGCGATCTTCTTCGAAGTAAATTGACAGAACAGTCACAACGGGTACTAGACCCGACTGAGTATTTATATATTTTATTAAATTTATGTAGGTTTATGTATGTATGAGTGTTTATATATTGTGTACTCTGGACTTCAATTATGTTAAATTTAATATTTTATTTTGCACCTACCGCATCATATCACTACATTACCTGAAGGTTCACTGGGAGAGAATGCCTAATGGCCTCTTTAGTGAACTCCTTCATTTCATAGCTAAATAGTTTTGGCCACTTTGCCTTTATCTTTTATGGCCGGCGACCTTTTGTAAGGAATTTAAATTACATATCTTGATCCCATAATGTTACAGTCTACTTAACATTACTAAACGACTTATAAAAAAATACATTCTATGCCTATGAACAGTAAAGTCAATGATGAAAATCAGAATATTTCGACGTTGGACAATGGTGAATATTATTCGCGTCCTAGACATACATAAACATAAACGACAAAACTAAAATAAGCCAGCCATGAAGATTATTTCATCTTATAAATGTATATATAAACTAGCTTTTGCCTGCAGCTCCGCCCGCGCAATTGTCGGTTATCGCGCTAAAAATGTCCGTCTCTCCTCAAGAATCTCCAAACCAAATTTCATATAAATCTATTTAGCGGTTATTAATTCCCATTACAAATTTCCATCCCCCTTTTCAACCCCGTGAAGAATGATTTCTATGATAAATATTACCCTATGTCCTATTCTGGGACTAGGACTATCTCTATACCAAATTTCATATAAATCGGTTTAGTGGTTTAAGCTTTAAGAGTTAACAGACAGACACACTTTCGTATTTATAATATTAGTATGGACTAGTATGTATTATAATATATAAATCACTTTATGAAGCAAATAAATAGGTAAATTGAATATCGCTCGATCAATCGATTAGCAGGCATATAGATGAACAGGCTTACACATGCTATATTCCTGTAGGGGTAGACAGTTCCCCTTTCTACAACTAAAATTTACATTACAAAATAAGGGGCAACTCTATTGCCGGAAAAGCCCTAGAACCGAAAATAAACAGAGAACCCTCCGTTTTGAGTCAGATGTTGACAAAAGATAAAAATTATGTCAGTGAATCTAGCTTTTGTAGTACAAGCTCTACTTAGTTTGAAACTAGATACCGTTGTGTGTTAGACGTCCGAAAATATTATTATTGTATTATTTCGATATCAATCTTAGGTTCACTGGTAGAAAATGTCCTGGACATTAGGTCCGTCTTCGAAAAATTGTTTTTTTTTTTTAAGATAAAGGAGGACAAACGATCAGACTGATCACCTGATGGTAAGTGACTACCGCAGCCCATAGACACGTGCACCTCTAGAGTCACAAGTGCGTTGTCCCCTTTTGAGTCTCCCTTCTTGGGTGAGGTTGGGCTCCAGTAACCTCACTTACTCGGTGAAAAGCAGCAGAAGAACTGCTTAACACTGGTTTTCTATGAGGCCGTGGTCGCATTGCTCTCCCACAATAAATGTACTTGATGTGTAACAGAAACCCATATTTTTAGGTTAAATGACCGATTACTGTCAGGCTATCGATTATACACAAAACGGGCATTCACCTCGAGAGGCAGATTCGACTTACCTCGTCTCGTCTGGATCGCAGTAGACACCACACATATGTGACCGCAACCGTACTCGTATTTTCGGCAAACTAAGTGGGCGTCAAATGCTATTTAAGACTCGACTTCGATATTCTCAGTGGCATAAAGCTTGGGACTGTAGTCAGAAGATTTTCGGACTGAATATCACTAAATATTCTGATGTCGTTGTATAGACTTTGCTCGTAGAATAGTGACCACCCAATCAAACAAAATTTTACGTCACATGGATGTAAGGTGAAAAATTTATTCACTGTTCATAACTTTTTTGTTATACAATAGTTCTTGTAGTATCGAAATGGCCAAACCACATTTTGACTAAGGTGTAGTTTGTGAAGTTAGTTAAGGCTTATGGAGTTAGGGCCTGTAGAGTTAGAAGCTTGGCTCTCTAAAACTTTTCAGATCTCGTGATCTGATAACGTTTTGAAAGTGCGAGCCATATGATCTCGTATTGGCACATATTACATGAAAATGTTTTTGGTGGGAATAATATTAGTTAAATCTTTAAATTAAAACATACAAATGCCACAAGAAGATGTCTTTCAAGTATAAGTTTTACAAAAACAACATAAAAACACGAAACATAAAAACCCTTACTACAAACATCGTTTACCCTCCGTGACCACGGAAGCATGTTTTTGAAAAACGCTTATGAGAAAGCGTGTTTTCCTTGCAAATTACAACTGCTCGTATCTAATAGTGTTTCTACGACGAAATAAATCGATATCAAAGACTGATGTTGAGCGTGACAATGTTGGTAACGATAACGAGACGAAATATATGAATCAAATATCATAACAATGAAGTAAATAAGAATAATAACATAAGTGATCCTTAAACCCAATAAAGATTCGTAATCAAATTGAACAAAAAAGTCTGTTACATATAAAATACAGAAGGACAGAACTTACAATACAAAAACGCCGGCGTCCAAATTACACGTCAGCAACGGAAAACAATTGTCCACAAAACTACTTTAAGCGAAATCGATTTTGAACAAAAAATAACCACGTTTCCGTTCTCAAATGACGATTTAACAACAATTAGGTACCCCATTTAGAGATACGAACTATAATACAATTTTAATATCAAGAAGGTTCCATGTAATCTGGTATTATGGGAGAACGTGACTCCTGTACTGTTATTACAATCTTTTGTTTTATGAAGCGAAGAAAAAATTAACCCAATGTTTTTGTTAACCCTAATATTCCACCTACAACGAAGTCGTTCTAAGTCTCGTTATAAGAACTTACTTACATATCCATTGCTACTTTTGTATCGTGATGTACCTTAGGAAGTCGAATAAAAGCAGCCATTGTTGACTTACTTC